GAGTTATAGTTCATTTTTAAAGAAAATATTGGATTTTTTGAAAGTATACACTATCATTTTCAAGAAACAGTTACAAAATCCTTCCCATACAAAACGCTTATGAACTCACTAACTTAATTGTTGACACTTTTCAAAATCACTTGTATTATCAAGAAACCAGTAAACTGGTAAACGCAACAGTTTTTGGTGGATGAGACGTCATGCATCACGTTATTTATTTTGTCTTGTGCATTTGATATAATGTAAACAACGTTTTGAAACCATGTAAACTTATAAAAATATTCAATACAAAGGTTGTAATGCTTTGATCGCTACTATTCAATTGTTATGATACTGTACATGAAGTCATCCACCCCCAGACGTTTCTGCCGTTCTGGTTTGGGGGTGCGACAGAGATCACCACGACGTGGTATTAAGTCTTTTCTTCTTCTTCTTTTGGTTTAGCTCCCGTTTCCTGCTTCTAGCTCCTCGCATGCTTCCTTTTTATCCCGAGCAAGTCTTCGTTGCTACAAAACATATTTCAAACATAATAAGTATATATATTTTTTCCAAATTAAACATGATTATAGCTAAAAGTATTAGAAATATGCATTAAATACATAGTTAAATATGCATATATCGTCAAACAAGGTCTAACCTTAGTCTACACTTTATAACTAGCACTTTGACTAAAAGTCAACCTAAGTAAAAAAGTTAACTGTCAAAGTCAACTTCTGAGAGACACCACGTCGTGACCTCCTATTAGTCATGTTGTGGCATGATAAGGCCAAAATAATTGTGTATCCCTCCCCAACCAAGACGTTACATCGTGAAAACTGGGTCTTAATAGCCTAATGGATTAAGCCATTTTCCATCCATTCCATGAGCTCCAAAGCTTAGATTTGATTCTTCCTAAGGTCTTGATAGATAAAGTTTACAACATTATCCATTAAGACATCCCAATAAGCCAAGATCTCAAAACCTAGGTCCTTAATGGCACCTTAAGGCATAAAGTCAACCATTAAGCACTTAATCCCTAAAGTCTCAAGTCTAAAACTTCCAAAAGGGTTCTAAGGACCTTAATGATACCTAAAAATGTAAACTTTATGGACATACATGCTCCATGCATGTCCTTCCCCAAATCTAGGCCAAAAGATGAAATATGACCTAAAGTTCATGCAAAGTCCCCAAACCATAACCACATACTAGATCTATGAAATACAATGTTCTTAGGACTCAGAAAAATCATAAAGTTGCAACCTTTATCTCTTTTACTCATTCCAAATTCACTAATGAGGTAAAATATGACATACAAGCTAAATCCATGAAGCATACAACAACAAGATGAGAGTTTGAGGACTTACAAAAGTTGTACACAAGTACGACGATGGATTGCTTAGAGAAACTAAGCACCAGAACTTCTTCTTCTTCCTTCAAAACCACCAAAAGCTTGCAAAAATGAGATCAAAAGCTCCAAGAGGGTTAGGATTTGGCTAAAGGGTCATTTGGAGGTAATGAAGGCTGAGGGTGGAGGAAACCCTAGCCATCAATTCCTTTAAATAGGCCTAAAGCTCGAAAAATTAGGGTTTTGCCGCAAATCAGGTGTCACGTTGTGACACTTAAATGAGACCCCCAACTTTTGCGACCATGTCATGATGTGACGGTGCTTCCCTCACGTCGTGACCAACACACAACTCATATTTTATTCAAAATTTCATACATCAAGGATCTGGATGTTACATAACATTTCCTGATTATGGTTGGGGAAAAGGGTAAAAAGAGATAGGTTAGGGTGCTGGTGGGGGTTGGGGTTGGGGTGGACCCATACTTTCGTTTTACTTTTTTTTAATTATAAAATAATTATATTTAACATTAAAAAATGAAAAAAGAAATGAAATGGGTAAAATAGTATTTTCAGGTTTTTAGGGACAAAATGGAGCAAAATCACATGAATTTTATAATTTTAGACCTTCCATAGGTGAAAATATTTTAGACCTTATATATCGTTTTTGGTAAATCACGAGGACAAATTTTACAGTTTTATCAACAATAAAAATATTAAATATTAAAAATTATAATATCATGTGTAACATTTGAAAAATGGATAACAACTTAAAAGGGTAATATATTTTTCGATTTGAACACATTTGGTTACTAAGTTTTTTTTTTCATCCACATTTACCCATTAAACTTGTTAAATTGTATACATTCAATCATTATGACTGACTACCCCTGGTTAGCCAGTAAAGATAACTTAATATGATAATATATTTCATACTTTGTACACATTTAGTCCTTAAAGTTTTTATACACATTTAGTCCTTCATATTTTTTTGTTGCAAAATAAGTAATTTTTATTTTTGTACTAATTCAGTACTTATTAATGATTTATTTATGTTTTTCTCACGATATATTACGTAGTACAATCATTAATGAGATGTTTGAGGTTTTTGATGCTTAAGTATTGAACGAGTAAAAAACAAAAAAGACTTATTTTGAAACAAAAAATATTAAAGGCTAAATGTATACAAAAATATTAAGGATTAAATGTGTACAAAATGAGAAATATATTAACATATTAAATCATTTTTCTCGACTAACCTTAAGTAACTGATCATAAAGACTGAATGCATACTGTTTACCAAATTGAAAAAGTAATTATGAAAAAAAAAAAAAAAAAACTCAACCAAATATATACAAATCCAAAAACATATTATTTTATTTATTTATTTATTTATTTTTAGTCATTATCTTTTTAAAAAGACATAAATATGCATAATTTTTGTAGTGTGGGAATGGGATATGGTAGCCTTGTAGGCGCCAAGCATGATGGATTGGTTAAATTAATTGGGTGGTCGTGTCCCCATCGCGTCATCCTCACACCACATATACGTACACCCACGTGTATCTCTATATAAACGATGCCCATCTTTGACGACTATAATTAGGTTTTCTTCGTCACCAACAATAACATACGCATCAATAACATTGCTAATTTACTCAATAGGTTAATCGGTGGGTGGGGGGTCTCTTCTCATCTTTCTCCAATATCACGAGCTCTGGAGTTAGGCCTTTGCCCTCCTGTGGCTACCCTAAGGTTATGCCGTTTACCCTACAGGTATCTTCCACCGTTTCCCCCCTTTTTGGGTTTCGTATTCGATCATTTCGTTTTGTTTTTAATTTGTGGAAACCAGATCTGGATTGTTTGTGGTTGCTTTTCAATCGGGTTGATTAGATCTGGTTTTAGGGTTTTGTTTGTTTAATCTATTGGCGTTTTTATGGATCTTTTAATGGGGGTTTCCGCATATATACATCATATTTAGCGATTTTTTTTTTTCTGAGTTTGATATCCGGAAATTAGGTATTTTGGTTTACAGCTGGATTCGTTAGGAACAATGGAAATAAAAAATCTATCTACAAACGGATCTCTAAGATGGTCTTATTTTCGAACAATTATTCATGTTTGTATATGATTCAGGGTCTATTTGGTTTACATTCATCAAATGTTTCTCCCTAGTTCTGATAGTTGTAATTCACTAGAATTATCGCGATTGGGGATTTGCTTGTGATTGGGGGAGCTTGATTTTCATCTCGTTTATCTTGCAAGTTTTTATGTGTTATCTCTTTTCTTTCTCATCTTTCTTTAATCGTTGCACCCACTTGATCATCTTCTATATTCTTAAAATATACTTTACGTTGCTACCTTTATTCTCTACCTTTACAATAATACATCATATATATTATACACACATAAGCATATAATATGATTCAATAATGCAACTTTTGGTATCTATTCAAATTACAAGTTGCTTTCCACAACCAGATTACCAATAATGGGAAATCATGATTCTCTATTTTAGGTAAGAATCTTTAGGATGATTATTCAGGTTTCTATTACAATGATAATCCTGTGATTACTTTATAGTCTCCATCCTCATGATGAAACTGATAAATCTCATCTGCTGCATGATATGATTGATATCTCACTTACATTAAACTAATATCATTCTTTCTTTTCAGTTTGAAAAGGTTTTAATTTCCTCTGAGACATGGAGCAAACATGCCCTTGGTCAGATTGTTTCAAGAATCAGGCTTTCTCATTCCAAAAAGTGCTCGATTGGCGTTCTCTCATCCCTAGATGTTTTCTTCTTGTTTCCTTTGTTAACTGCACCTAGTGAGCATCCTCCTGTCTACAGGCGTAATGCAAGTTTGTTATGAGATAGGTGTTGGATCTTTAGTCAACATTGACAAGTAAGCTGGTCAACGTTTTGACAAATTGCAATTTATAAAAAAGTTTTCATCTTGTTTGTACTCATGTCCTTTTTCTGAACGAAACCAGTGCACTTCCAATACAGTAATCACTTTTAAATCTTCCAAGATCATCTACTGAGGTAAAGCTTCAAATAGAGCATCTACAGTGTATGCTGACTAAATTACCATTTTACCCCTGTGTGGTAGTTTCTAACACACTTGTCCATTCCATCCTTTCTCAATGCAGGGCTGAACTTTGTATGTACATGATGAATTTTGCATTCACTGTTAATTACTAGATGAGATACTGTTTAGCAACACTCCTCTTTTCTAATGGGTACCAACTAGATTTACAAAAAATTGGCTGAAGATTTTGCAACAGAATCCATAGGGGTAAAAAAGTCATCATCAAGATTTCTTTTTTGGGTACAAAATATAAGCTTAAGCATATCAAGATGCCCTTCACTTCTCACTTCTTATTGCTTTCTATGCCTTTTGAAAATCTGGGCATCATCGATCCGGTGTCCATAAATAAAACTTTCCATCAGAAGCTTTTCACTCTTCTTTTGCTCATGCATCAAGAAAGTTGATGTTGGATAGTTTATTATTATACTATTATCTAGTTTCTTCTTCTTCTTCTTCTTGTTCTTCTTCTATAGTTGTCTAGAGATTAAGTCCATTGTTTCTTCTTCTTCTTCTTCTTCATCTTCTTCTATGTTCGTGTCTGTTCTTCGTAAATAAAGGTGCTTCTAGCAGTTGCATACCCAAAAATGGAAAGGTGAGTTCATCTCTTGATTTCTTGATTGTGATTTTAGGGTTTAAATGATGTGAAATTGTAACTAATATGTTGGATTTGTTGTTGTTTAGGTACAAGGTAATCAAGGAAGTTGGTAATGGATCTTTTGGGGTTGTTTGGAGGGCGTTGAATAAACAAAATGGTGAAGTGGTGAGTCCTTTGTATAACTTCTTGTTAATTATAATGAAAATAAGACAAAATTACATAAATGGTCCCTGTGGTTTTCCAAAAGTCACAAACTCAGTCCTTGCTAATTTTTTTTGATGAAAATGTCCAAAACTTGCGTGAATGGTCCTTTTTGCTAACACCATTATTGTTCATCCATTATTGTGAGGGCAACTTTGTCTTTTCAAGTGGCAGAGACCGAGTGTGTAACCATGGATAAACCATAGGGACCATTTATGTTCTTTTGTCTATATTTATGTTTATGAGTTTGTGGCTTTTCCACCCCTTTGCTTTTTAAAATGTCACTTTGAACCCTTCACGTTTTTACTTCTAAAATCTATAAGTAATGATGTGATTATTAAAGTTTACTTATTATCTACACAGGTTGCGATTAAAAAAATGAAGAGGAAGTATTATTCATGGGAAGAATGCATAAATCTGAGAGAAGTAAAGGTAACAATTAACAGATCATGTAATTAACGAAAAAAATAACAAATCTTGTATTGCATTTTAATATAAACTTAATTTTTTTTTTGTAGTCACTTCGTAAAATGAATCATCCAAATATTGTGAAGCTGAAAGAAGTGATCAGAGAAAATGACATCTTATACTTTGTGTTTGAGTACATGGTATGTAGAACAGAAGAAGATTTCTTGTTATATCTTTTGTTGACTTTTCAACTCTTATATAATAATATAATTTTATTTATTTTTTCTCTTTGCAGGAATGCAGTCTTTATCAACTTATGAAAGATAGACTGAAGCTTTTTTCAGAAACTGATATTAGAAATTGGTGCTTCCAAGTTTTTCAAGGTCTTGCTTATATGCATCAACGTGGTTTCTTCCATCGTGATCTTAAGCCTGGTGAGATTTTTTTTTAAAAAAAAAGTTTACTTAAAATTACAATAGTGCCCTTGAGTAGAAAATTAATTAATTTTTTTTTTATTTTTATGTTGCAGAAAACTTTCTTGTTTCTAAGGATGTAATAAAGATAGCTGATTTTGGTCTTGCTCGTGAGATTGTTTCCCAACCACCATACACCGAGTATGTTTCAACCCGCTGGTGAGTCGAGGGTATTTTGGTCTTTTTGCATCAAACATGGAATTTGGTTTTTAGTTTTTTCAAATTTTGCTGAAAATGTGGATGGTTACAGGTATCGTGCCCCTGAGGTTCTTCTTCAGTCACCAACATATGGTTCTGCAGTTGGTGAGTAAAAACTTTATATAAAATACAAAATTTTTAAATTATATAAAAGTTTTTATAAAAAATACATTCTTGGAAAATGGAAATCATAATATAATAGATATGTGGGCAATGGGAGCAATCATGGCTGAACTATTTACTCTCAGACCACTTTTCCCAGGTTCAAGGTGTGTGGTGTCCACTTCTCTCATATAAATAATTTTTTTTTATTGCATAATGAGTTTATGAAATTTATAAAAAATGTAAAATTTTCAGTGAAGCGGATGAAATTTATAAAATCTGCAAAGTGATAGGAAGCCCAACAGAAAGCTCATGGGCTGAAGGACTTGAGCTTGCAACTACTGTCAATTATCAATTTCCAGAGGTTAGTTACTTTTTTTTTTTTTTTTTTTTTTTTTAATACTTTTTATATTTTTTTTAATAAAAAAATTAACTTTTTTATTTTTGTTAGCAGCTTGCAGGCGTAAATCTCTCTGCACTCGTACCATCTGCAAGCAAAGATGGAGTCAATCTGATTTCAGTAATAATTTGTTCCCATAAATTTTTTAAATTTTATTTTAAAAAAAAATGTCAACTAAAATATATTTTTATTGTTATGCTATTCAGTCACTATGTTCTTGGGATCCATGTAAGAGGCCAACAGCCATGGAAGCTCTTCAGCATCCTTTCTTTCAGGTAAAACCTCTCAATTTTTTTTTTTTAAATTATTAAGAAAATTTATATTTTTATTATTATTATGGGCAAAATTGTAATTTCTTCAAAAAATCTGCAGAATTGTTACTATGTTCCACCTTCTCTTCGCCCTAAATCCACCATTGCTAAAACACCTCCATCTGGTTTGTTCTCCCTCTCACAACTCACAATTCTTGAAGTTTAATGAGATTTTATTACTTTCAAGTAAATAAAAGAAGGGCAAAATTGTAATTAGTCAAGTTGTTTTTTGCAGCTGGCTTAACTACAAAAAGAGCTGTGGAACAGAAATGTGCCAAGAAATATCCTCTACCCAATTCCAAGCCAAATATTACTCCGTCTGCCAAAATGCATTCATCTCTAAATTCAGGTAATAATAATACTAATAATATTATTTAATTAATCTAATTTGTTTTTGTATATATATTTTTATGTTGTGATTAATTTAAAAGAAAAAACAGGTGTGCAACGAAGACTGGAATTGAATCGACAAGATGGAGTAAATGAAAAGACAAATAAGATCTCATCTTCCACCAAACAACAACCAAAATATCAGCCACCCATTAAAAACAATATTAATAATCCAAGTAAGAAACTATTTATTTACTTACATCTTTTTGATATATAAGATTAATTAATTGATAATAATTTCAGGAGTAGGAGGGGTGTATATGGGAAAAGGAAGAGTTGGTGAAAAATTTGGAAACATGACGATTGGAAGTGGAAGAGGGAAACCTTCACCACCACCAATGAAGGCTGGAATGGCAAATGGTAGATCCGATTTGTTTTCTGGAAGGTCACAGGGGTATAGTAGCAAGGTGGCAGGATAGCTATAAATAATATTGACATATTTACCCCTTTGGTCTTGTAATGTGTTTGGGGTTCAAAGGTCAACTCTGGAAATAAGTGGTTTGGTTTTTTATGTTTTAAAACTGTCATGTCGTGTCGTGTCGTGTTGGTTCTGTTTTTTCTATATGAAATTATGTTTGAATATGGTTTCAAAACAAGAGAATTTAAAGGTTTAGAAAATATTATTATATGAAGGGAATAATAATAATTAATCTTCACTCTTTACCAAATAAGTGAAGAAAGAGATTTATATGTTTGTCTACATTTCCTCTTATACAATGTTGTAACAATTTTCATGATTATCTGTTACTATTTTGCCACTATATTGGTCAACCAATCTTTGCTCCTCACAATAGACCTGGCAACAATTTGTGTTTGCTGTGTATACGTGTCAGAACACTGTATGAATTGTAAAATGTGTCTTTGGCATCAAACATGAGCACATGTAATTAATTCAGTGTGATGCGACATGTGACATGATATAAATAAACATGTTTTTTTTTTTTTTTTATTTTTTATTTTTATTTTTTATTTTTTACTATGTTACATGAAAACACTGAAACATAAACTTACATGAATTTAAATTGTCGTAATTAATCCATTTTTACTATGTTACATGAAAACACTAAACATATACTTACATGAATTTAACTTGTCTATATTTTTTTATACATGTATATACTTGTAACATGCCGATACAAATTTAATTTGTGTCTATGTTTAAAAAGATAATTTATTTTTTAAACACATGCCGATACAAATTTAATTTGTGTCTATATGTTTAAAAAGATAATTTATTTTTTACATGTTTAAAAGGATAAATTTGTGTTTCACAATTGTAAAACACAACATGAATTTAAAATTTGTATCAATAGACATGAAAAACAAATTTTTAAATCCTATGCATAAAACTTGTGTTTGTCATATCAATCGTGTTGTGTATCAAATTATCGGTCTACCTCATCATAAAACTTGTGTATCAACTACTTACAATAGTTGTGGGTTGACTTGCTTGGAGGACATCTCCAAACCATAACAATCTCCTTTTTAGTATTTCTTTTAATGATTGACATAACCTCTAATATATTATTAAATATCATTTTTGATATCATATCCAACGATGTTCTACTGCAGGTCTAATGTAACATAATCTTAATACCAACTTCCACCTTCCTCTTAGGCTTCACTCGTTAAAAACTCGATTCGAGATCGATTTTAAGCAAGCAGAGCTCGAGCTTAATATTAGGCTTGTTTATTAAATGAGTTCAAATTGATGGGGTTGGTAGTAACCATTTTCAACCTTTTCTCTCTCAACTTTTACCACATGCATTAGTACCTATATATTAGGATTTAAGTTATTGTTTTAGGATTTTAGTTATCGTTTTAGTAAATGTTTTAATATTAAAAAAAACTTCGTAGGTGGGTGGTTTAAAAAAGATAGATTCGTTATGTTACTCTTTGATGGTTGGTAAAGATGGAAGTGAAAGGATAGAAAAATGTTCATGTGGCACATAGGTGGCAAGAGGGATGGAAAAGACGCACTCCTCCCACCATTAAACGACTGCTATTAGTTAGTTTAGACTAATCTTTTGATTGATTGTGGTTAGTCGGTTTGAACTAACCATTAGGCTTAGTCGGTTTTAGCATTTGGTTAGCTTGTAGTATGTTTGACTTATTTTTTTTTTTTTAAATTTAATAAAGTAAAAAAGACTTGCATGAATATCCAAGGCTTCATGGATTCTCTTGATGATATTATCCATATTGGGTCAATCGATCGGTTGGAATTTGGAAACTAATACACTGATATGCAACTTCTTTAAACGTATGTAAAGAACGACTATCAATGTGAGTTCTTATATATACTGTGCATATATGTGAATTTGAATATTCACAAATGTACGTATATACACAATGTATTTATATAGTTTTCATCATATATTTTTTACCTACAACTGGATTAACGTTGTTTGTTAAGTTATTTTTGGACAAATCAATGTTTCTTAATACACTTGGATTATTGATTTTTGTTATTCATATTTAACTGAGAACCAAACAAAATAACCTAAAAACCAATTTACGCAAACCTTATTTGGTGTGGTATTGTGTTTATTTATACACTAGTTTTTTATTTATGAAGTCTTACCTAATCTCAACCAGTCTTAAACACAAATAAGCAGTGTACCTAATCTTAAAGTAAGAATAGTTTAGATCAAATAATTCAAATGTTAATTAATAATAGAAAAGTAAAAGGTGTTTGTGTAAACAAAATTGAACTAACTTTAACGCTTAATTAAACAACGAAACTAAAGAACTAATTGGAAACAATAAATAAGAAGTACTTCCACTAGAATACGAATACACCATGTTTTTATGTTTTATTTATTAGAAGTATAATGGATTAATGAATTGATTACCGAATTGTAATATGACTTGTTATATTGATCGGATTTCCTTTTATTAATAATTAATGAACAACTAACACAATGATCATGCAATTAGTAAACACATAATTAATTAACTATATTCGAACTATGAACGATATGATCTAGTGATTTCGTGCCAATGATCATGCCAATCAATCTAAGCATAGCATGGATACCTAATGCTCTCTAACACAATCAAAGTCATCGATTAATATTATCTAACCTTAGGCTTATTGTAACACCCCTAATCCAGCAGACAAGAAAGGACAGGAAAACCCTAAGTCAAGGAGTCAACTCGTCGAGTCTAAGGAAGAACTCGACAAGTAGGAGCGAGTTCCGTGTCGGGGATTAAGTGGCCGACTCGGTGAGTCTGGTCTGGTTTGGGAAACCTTAATTTCGGGACTTGGTTCCCTATTTAAGCCTCATATTCTCATCCCCTCAGCCTCATCTTCAGGCCCCAGACCCCAAACCCTCACCCACGAAACCCTAGTGCCTTTCTTGTGAGTGTGAGCCATTTTTGGAGTGTGTGTGGTCTACTTGGAAGCTTGAAGAAGGAGAAAATCTTGTAGGAATCAAGAAGGGGATTGCAGATCCAGAAGTAGCTTCTCAATCCCATCACTTTCTGGTAATCAAGTCTTAACCTTGCTCATCAACCTCTTAGATCTCCTCATGTCCCTTTTGTTTGAGTTTTGGTTCAAAAGCTAGATCTATGAGACAAGGATGTCCCAAGCTTAGATCCATTCAGATATGGAGCCCCTAGGTGTGGCTAAGGCATAAAGGTGCAAACTTTATGCCATTAGGATGTCCCATGCAAGCTTAAAGAGATTATCAAGGCCTTTTGGAGCCCTAAAGGCCATGCAAGGAAGTAAAGTCCAGGACTTTATGAGGTTATTGGATGTCTAGAGCCTAGATCTTGATTTCCTTATTTTGGTTTGGAGTAATAAGGGTTTTGGATCATGGAGCTATGTCTTCCTAAGTATAAGGGCTTAATCCTTTAAGATTATCCATCAGGACGAGGAACTCGACGAGTCCAGGAAAGGACTCGACGAGTTTAAGCGAGTTGTCCCGTTTTCTGGTTATGGGTGAACTCGGCGAGTCAGGGGAATGACTCAGTGGGTTGACTCGGTTTGCCACGAGTTTGGATTAGCCAGGGAACTCGGCGAGTTAGGGGATGACTCGACGAGTTGGTTCGCGGTTGTAGGATTCTGAGCTTTTGACCAGCGAGTTGATGGAGCAACTCGGCGAGTCAAGTCAACCTGGAAGTGTTGACTTTGACCATGAACCGTTGACTTTGACCAAGTTTGGCTAGGGTAGAATTTTGGATTATCATGGTATAAATGTTGTTTGGGTATTGATAGTTTGGGAAGCCGAAGGGTCAACAGTTCAGAAGTGTCAGTTAGTAGTCAGAAGTGTTTAGCGAATCTTCAGCAGTGTGAGGTGAGTCCTCTTCCAGTAGGACCAGGTCTAAGGCCACAATGCCGGCCCGTTTAAGTAGTTGTAGTATATCGGGGTGAGCCCGATGCCCGGGTAAGCCCGATGCAGTTTATATGTTTCCAGAATTCGGTCCGATGCCTGGGCGGTCCCGAGAAGTAGTTATGTATGCTTGATGTCTTCATGATTCATGCATGTTTATGTGTTATGTGTTATATGTTCCAGACTCCGGTCCGATACCTGGCCAAGCTTGATGCAGTATATGTGATTATGTTATATGCTATGTGTTCCGGGGTAATCCCGATGCCAAGGCCAACCCAATGTATGTTAGTTATTATGCCATGTGTTATGTGTTCTGGGGCAAGCCGATGTATGCTAGTTTATATGTTATATATTATATGTTCTGGGTTTCGGTCCGATGCCAGGGCAACCCGATGCAGATTATGTGATTATGTTATGTGATATATGCTATGTTATGTATGTGCCGAGGTAAGCCCGATGCCGGGGTGAGCCTGATGCCTGATGCGGTCGGATACCGGGGTGAGCCCAATGTCGGGCAGGAGTCCGATGCCGGGTAAGCCGATGTTAGGATTCGTCCCGATGCAGTTGGGAGTAGTCCTGGAGTAATATTTATGTTATGTGTTTATGTTATATGCATTGTGTATATGTTTATATGTGTACCAGATTACGGTCCGATACAGGGTAGGGCCCGATGCAATGGGCTAGGCCCAAGTTATGTGATTATGTGTATGGTATGTGTTAGGTTGGGGAGACTCACTAAACTTCGTGCTTACAGTTTTAGTTTTGGTTTCAGGTACTCAGTTTTCAAAAGAGGAGCTCAGGAAGATTGCAGTGCACACACCATTTGTTCAGCCTGGGATGTTTATACTCTTGATATATTTGACAGATGTTATGTTATTCTTGAGATACACAATTTATGATTTTTATATGTTGAAAGATAGTTATGGTTTTATTAATGAGTTAAAAACGAAATTTTTGGCTTGTATTTTTGGGATGTTACACTTATGATTAAAGTCCTAGTCATACAAACCTAATCATCAAAGATTCATATTATTCGAGTACATCAAGATAAAATAATCATCAAATCGTAATAATACTTAGTAATAAACAATAAAATCATAACTTTAACACGCTAGGTAAAGCAATCAATCGAACACAAGTAATAACCAAATTGTTAATCCTATTAACGACATCAAAGCAAATCAACAATGGTTCAACAATATAGAGTGAAAGATAAGGTTTTATAATATATTCAGTAAACTAAAGCGGAAAAACATCACCAAAAGAATGTAAGACGTGATCATCAAGCAAAGCCGAAGCATAATCTCGATATAATGGGGCTTGAATCTTACAATCGTTGCTCCAATTGAATCTCTAACTTTAAAATCGACCCTTGGAGGGTTCTTCCTCATGAATAATCACAACCATAAGGTCTCAGCTCAACAATCCCGAAGTTTCCATTTACCACGTCGTGGTGGTTGGATTTCACATTTTGGCACAAACACAAAAGTCGTTCGAAATTTATTCTAATTTTTAGATCATTTGGAATTGCCTTAATTGGAGTTACGATTCATGCGATATGGACAAAAATACTGACAAAGGGTCA